GGAATAAGACAGAAAATTAAAATAAGATCATGAGATAAAAGAAGGGAATTTAAAACGAGTTAAAAGAGACATATCAAGTCCGGCCAAGAAACCGACGAAGTATACTGGAAAGGTGCCATGGGAGTCTTACCAGGCTCAGTTCAAAATCATTTCTGGGTGGAATAGTGAACAACAAGCTATTCATCTTTCTGAACATTTAAAAGGATTCGCTTTGCCGGCTTTAAAAACTTTCCAGCTAAGAACTATAACAACTATCAAACTTTGGTATGTGCCTTAACCAACAGCTTTGAATTGACACACCAAATTTCTGGAATAGGATACAAAAGAAAGAATAGACCTTATCTGAGGTTCCAGAAGATTTGGAAAGGCTGCCTAATTATCTTATACAGTTGCTCCACATGAAGGGATGGATTCGTTAGCATGTAATCAAGTTATAGGTGCCATAATAGACGATAATATGAGAATTAGGTTGAGACAAAGTAGGTGTACATCTTTAAAAGAAGCTTGCAGTTGGTAATGAAACTTGAATGTATTAAATTCACAAATAAACAATGAAAAACACCACTTCAAAGTTATAGGGTCATCAGACTCTGTAGATTGAGGCATCAACCTCCCGACAATAATCTAGAACTGAAATAATGAACCACAGGGATAGTTATACAGATGGAATGAATAAACCACAAGAAAATAGCTGTTTCGAGTGTATTTCAAAAGAAGATATTGCGAAAAACTGTAGATTAAAGTTTGTATGAAGTAGAAACTCATTCCAAAGGATGTCAGTAACAAGGAATTGTTATAGATGTAGGTTACCTGGTTATTACAGCCAAGGCTGTGAGGAATCAGCAACTGTTAATACACCAAACATATAATACCCTAAGGGATGAATCTTTAAGCCCAATCATATCAAAAGAGCAATGAAGAGCTTACCAGACATTAAGAAAGACAGGAAATATCTGAATTTATGGGGCGAAATTCAGCTGGAAATACACCATCTTCCCCAATTGAGATAAGAAGTTCATTATTTGAGGAAACTTTTCCCCGAGTCCATTGGTTTATTGATGGAAATCCTTGTAGTCTATTGATCAACACTGGTTCTATGGCTACAATAGTTCGACCCAATTTGGTAACAGGTGTGAAATTGCCTTCAGAGATGAACAAAGATGCTGTATTGATGGAAATAGCAAGAGGAAAGTTGGAAGCTATCCTTACTGTCAGAATATTTTCTACAATTCAGGATATACGAGTAACTGACATTGAGGAAAGGTGTATGTTTGGAACTGACTTCAAGTGAAGATATGGATACCAGGTTAGGCTATAATAAATAGCTTCACAGTCTATGATAACAAAATTCCTGTATACTATATGACAATTACTACATCAGAGGTTGATCTTCCAGTGACAACTAAGAGGGCAGTCAGTGTACCACCAAGAAGATAAATTAGGAAGAAAGATACTGCTAGAGAACAGAAGTTTAGTAGAACCAATCACCCTGAGGGATTGGTGGTTGGAAGATATCTCACGGATCTGAGGAATAAATATGTCATACATTACTTTACCTTGAAAAGGCTTAAATAAGCTTGTATTAAAATGAAAAGACACTATAATGTTAATAAGACTGGATTAGATTGAGGCGACTATAGAATCCCTGGTGCATGGAAGGGCAAACTCCAAAATTAATCAGGTGTTGGGAAGGGCTATATTTTGTACTGCAAAGAATTAATAACATGATTTACAGAATCCAGAGGGATAGAAATCCAAGTCAAGATCATCCACTGTCATGGATTTTTGGAAGTATGTTGGTAATAGAATGGTCAACTTGGTAATTACAGAGAATTTGTCAGTAGAAAGTCAGTCTACTGGGGATCCCAGGGTTCCTGTCGAGACCACTTCCAGGGTATCATCAAGAATGGAACCACTAGTGAATTCATTCACCACTTACCCAGGGTGAACTCCGCCAGTAACAACATTGCAAGTGATGACAAGGGACAAGAAGCCATCCCATCTGTATACCATAACTATAAACTAAGAAAGTACTAGAAATACTTGATGGATAGACAGTTTAGTGAAGTGTTTTATATTTGTACTAAGATTGTTTAAAAGAAGAAGGAACAGTGTTGTGAGCTGTATTTTCAATGTTTTAATTTAGAAGTTTGCTAATGGAATGAAGATGTAATAATCGAGAATGTTTGCATGGTATGTGAAAGGTTATGATATAAAAACGACTGCAGTATTTCATACAAGAGTTCAGCATCAGAAAAGTTATTCAGTGAAGATTATTGTGTATACTCCGTTACTAGGTCGATTATCTGTGAAAATGTTACTTGTGAACTTAGGCCTACAATTTGTATCAAAATGAACATAGCTTGTAGAAACACAATAGAAAATTAAAAGAAATAAACTAATTAACTATTGTTACGTGGATTAGACTTGGCATTATTTTTACCAAATAATCCAAAAGAACACGCAACATTTTATTCAATCATTCCAAGTTCTGTAGTAGTAAATCTATGCAAAAATTACATGTACTTCATTGCTCACAGTCTAGGAAGGATCCATTTTATAGTCACCGATAAACAAATGCAAAATAAGACAATCAAACCAAAAAGACCAGTTTTTTGCCTTCGATACTGTATAACTGGATTTAACACTAAAATTAATGGCCACATGATATATTTATATTCAAATGAAACTTCTATAATTCGAAAAGTTAGTTTAATGAATTTTTACCGACAAAAATTGCCCCCCAGTGGCACATCGGTATGTCTGCAGACTTACAGTGCTAGAAGGCCATTGTGTGGCTTTGTGCTTAACTACAAACAAATATCTAATTTAATACGTTTAGAACAATGTTCATGTGATTTAATTAGTTTTTACTGACATACAAACAAAAACTGCAGCCTTTTCCATTAGCCAACAACATTGTTTATTTATAACAGAAAGTGACGCAGATCAACGTTGCGGAATTCTACAGATTCCATCTTCAGTACCTAAAGAAAAAATATTGTTACGTCTGTGTTCGTTTGTTAATTTTCCGTAGAAATTCTTTCCGAAGGACTTCAGCGATACAAGTCATTTCTTAAATAAAACTAGTTTATTCTTTCTCAATGCAACTTTGCAATATACTTAATTTCCACAGTCACTTTAACTTAAACACACGCTATAATTCACAATGAACGATTTACGCACGTTACTTTCTACCGCACTCAATTGTCCGTTTCTATATCTCTCTGTCTGCAATTCAATTATTGCCGTCACTTTATTTGCAGGCCCGGCATGGCCAGGTGGTTAGGGCACTCGACTCGCAATCAGAGGGTCGCGGGTTCGAATCCCCGTCACACCAAACATGCTCGCCCTTTCAGCTGTGGAGCGTTATAAAGTGACGGTCAATCCCACTATTCGTTGGTGAAAGAGTAGCCTAAGAGTTGGCGGTGGGTGGTGATGACTAGCTGCCTTCCCTCTAGTCTTACACTGCTAAATTAGGGACGGCTAGCGCAGATAGCCCTCGTGTAGCTTTGCGCGAAATCCAGAAACAAACAAACTTTATTTGCCGGCTTATATACTAAAATAGAGGGCGCATAGCAAATACTGGATTATTCGTGATGTTCCCCGATCCTTCTAGAAACTCATCATGTGTTACCAGCGTCACATGACTTCCTCTGTCGTAACAGTCAGTCCTTGGTGAAATTCAAGCTTTAAACTTTTACAATCATGCTTCTGGTACACTAAATATTTTTTACTTATTTAAAAATGCCCCCAAGAACACAAAATAACAACAAACAAGAATATCCTATAACTATTGTAATTTAACTGGTTTTCTAACTATTGCATAAGCACCCTAAAAATCCATTAGTTACTCCATTTTAACAGCTCCACAGAAATTTTCAAACTGAGTAAGATGTCTTTTACACCATAGTGAAAACAAATATGAGTTTATACACCATTGGTAGATTTTAATTTTGTCTTTCTATAATAAGATAAAGTATCAAAATTATTTATTGGCCAATTCTGAAACACAGTATGTTAGAGGTGGGAGTGACAAGTGTATCTCACTTTCTGATAATTACTTAAACAAATGTAAGTACAGATAAGAAAATAACCCTCCAAAAAAGATTTGTTCTATCTTTGAACTACCAAGGTTTACCAAGAGAATCAAACTGTTTGTTTTCAATTTTACATCTTTCAAATCTTTCCAACACAAACATTTCAATGATTTAATATACCAGGGTATTAGATGTTCCTTCTATGAATACTAACATGGGGACTGATTTATTAAGGCACTAAAATTTTTAAGATCAAAATAACTTATACAATGGAAACAGCCTATCTCTAACTTGTTGAAAGCTTTTAAGATTGTAGTAAAATGATACTCCATCACATTTAGGAAGACAAAACAAAGCATTTCCAGAGCTCTTACAATCTGTTTAGCTGGGAACTTAGCTATTGTTTGCATAATCTATTACAGCTGCCTTTATATGAAAAAGATTGATGTACACAAAATTAATTTGAGCAGCAGTAATCAAGCACAAATGAGGAAAGTTTACAAATAGTGGAAACTTGCTGAGAAATCGAACTGGGGGTTCTAGGGGCATTTGAAGTGAAAAAAAATTGATACTTTTAAATATGTTATATTTATGTGCATCTAATTGGATGAATTTTGGGATAAGTCCAAATTTCCATCTTTATTAATATTATTTTTTGTATTTTGCTTTTATTTTTTTCAGTTTCTGGCCTAACTTTTTCATGACATTTTTCAAACTTCGGCACTGAAAATTTTACACCCAAAAGTGGTAAATGCTTCCAAATTTAGCCTGTATTACCCCCCTAATAATCTTTTTTTTTCACCATCTATGTCATAGAATCATCACTGAATCACATGAACTTCACAGAAGTTTTCTGGTTTTTTGTCTGTAAAATAAAATTCCCTGATGTCTCCCAGACTAAGAACACTCAATATATAATTCAGTGACTTTTTTCCAGTCTCCCTGACCTGTGGGAATCATGTTTAAGACAATCTTCTAATGATTACTACCATCACTTTCACTAATCAACATGAATGTATATATAGTAAGAATTAAAGAGACATACTTAGTATGACTGTGGGGAACTCCTGTAGCTTTTCCAAAGTGACGACAAGCTTCACGTGCTTTCCTGGGACCTGTATAAAGTGCCACAAAAATGATCACAATTTCCTTACAAACACATTTGGAAATATGTCTAAGTTAAAACGAATAAAAATTTACTTAACAACAACAACAAAAAATAATAATAAAGACTGAAGTTTTTATTCACTCAAGTTTCAATCACAGTTGTGAAGTGGGAATTTTATGGTAATATATTTCTCTATAAAACCAACGAGGTTGTAAGTGCAAACTGAATAATATATTTAGTCTGCTTGTCCCCTGGGTAAATTGATTTAGTATCCAATTTGTAAAAACAGTATTTTAAGTGTTAAAAATGGACTAAAAAACCTATTTATTATTGATTTAAAAGCATATTTCCAACCAATTTTAATCCATTTTATATTATTAACATCTTTTTCTTTGTTACTTTCTTAATGACTGAAGCAATTGTGTAACCCAATCAAAAACACAAATCTTCCACAATTAACAACTTTACACTGAACATTATTACTCAATCTACTATAGATTACTCTGCTTGCGAGTGCTAAGTAGTTTTATCCAACTTCTTGGAGTATAGAAATATTTCTAGCTTTCAGAAGACAACAGTATAATAAAAATCCACTATCACCAACAACAAAATTCCCATCTCTCTACTTACCTGAAAAATATTCTTAAAATCACTGTAATAAACTTTGAAGTGCAGCTTTATCATGTCATTTGTTGAAACTTACATTAAAAATTATTAGCAAGTTCTTTACAACATTTTGAAGCTTAGCCCCCCCCCCCCTTTACAGTAATTCTCAAACCCACTCATCCTCGGGTATGTCTCCTCATCCTGAAGTGGATTTTACTCAGTCTTGAACACTTTAATTTTTATATACTAGTTACACACAAACACTCCTAACATTACAGATTTTTAACTTAAGTTTATACAGAACTTTAATAACAATGACTATTCAAACATGTAGCTTAAAACTTGCAAGTTCTTTCAAACTTCTTATATACCCAAATCTTTTAACTTAAGTTTATATAGAACTTTAATAACAATGACTATTCAAACATGTAGCTTAAAACTTGCAAGTTCTTTCAAACTTCTTATATACCCAAATCTTTTACTAAGACCCATAGTATCTACATTTGGCTTTTTAAGAAGCAAAAGAAAAACCAATATAACAATACCTTTTTTAAATTTTTGTATTCTTAGCTACGATATCTAGTACAAATTGTTTTTATTCTTAGCTACGATATATTGTACAAATTGTATTTATTCTTAGCTACGATATATTGTACAAATTGTATTTATTCTTAGCTATATATATAGTACAAATTGTATTTATTCTTAGCTACGATATATATAGTACAAATTGTATTTATTCTAAGCTACGATATATAGTACAAATTATATTTATTCTTAGCTACAATATATAGTACAAATTGTTTTTATTCTTAACTACGCTATATAGTACAAATTGTATTTATTCTTAGCTACGATATATATAGTACAAATTCTATTTATTCTTAGCTAAAGTATTTAGTACAAATTCTATTTATTCTTAGCTAAGGTATATAGTACAAATTGTATTTATTCTTAGCTAAGGTATATAGTATAAATATTCTTTGTTAAGACATTCTTTAATAATGAACTTATGAACTACACACCCATGCTTACATCTTAAAATGCAAATTTATCTTACAATAAGTATGGCCCATTAGGCATTACATTGTATTTTCATTTAAAAAGGACAATAAATTATAGTTATAAAATATAGTACCTTTATAAACAAAAAATACACTTTTAGTTTATTTAAGTTTCTGAAACAAGAAAAAAAAAAAAGATCAGTCTTTCAAACCTGCTTTGCTTTGTAGTCCCTCCAACAATTAAATTTCATTGTTGTGGCAATGATTCTTAAACTTTAGATAGTTAGATGATGTTTAATATTTCTGTTTGCTGTAACTTGACTGACTTTCTGAAAATGGGGCAGACTGACTGATTTTTCTGACATTATGACTTGGGAAATTATTATTTTTGCTAATACACTGACTGACTCATCTAACAAAATTTGCAGACTTTAAGATTTTTATCGCCATATTATGGTTGGAACATTGTTAGATATACACAACTGTTTTAATTTAAGTATAGCACAATTGTTAAATTTAGTTATTTTTTGAAGTGATAGTTTATCACAGGTTTGTTTGTACAACTATGCAAATCATACATTATGCAGTTCAATTGTCATAACTTGTTGTATTATTGCATCATGTTTCAGAACCTTGTAAGTTTGTCTCGAGTATTAATACATCATAATATCTCGTAGTTTGTGGAAAGTTCTAGGCCCCAGTTGCTATTCATAAATACATATCCAAAATGTAGTTCAAGACTGAGTGTTTGTAACTTTAGTTAAAAAGATCATATAGAAACTGTTGTAAGGCTGTACATTCTCACTATTTTTAAACATGGCCTTACTTTGAAACGAAACTTCAATTTTACAACAGCACGAGTGTACACGTTTGTTAAAAATATGTCCTTTTATTCATCAGCTGTATTCAAATCAATATAAAACTTTTGAGAGAGCTATGCATGAAAACCTTTGTTAGAGCCCCATTTGTCAAATTGAAAACAAAAATTTAATTTTACAGAAAATTGCATAAGAAGCTATCTTATATAAATTCTGAAAGTTAGAAGCCAAGAGGCATCAGAGAGAGAGAAAAAAAACTGTTGTTTCAACTCACTATATACACACGTATGGAAAGTTATCATTTAATTTGTCAAAGTGTCAGTTTTGTGGAGTTTATCAACTTTTAGTTAGACACACTTATGCCACTTTGACTCATCCTAACACAAAAGCTAATTCTTCCTGAATGTGATGTGAGCCTATCATTAGAATATTTACCACTTTCATTATAGCTATGCCATAAATTAAATTATACAATTTGAAAAACTTGTTACAAATTAAAACTGCAACTTTCATTAGAACACTGAATTAAAATGAAAACTGTTTTTTACTAAATACTTACCCTGAATGAGAACTGTTCCTTTACCACGAGGAGTCTTCAAGGCTAGCTGATCGAAAGTCATGATTTCTCCTCCAGCTTTCAGAATTCTAGCTCGGGCCCGTTCAGTCACATGTAAAGCACACAGCTGGAGAAAAGTAAAACAAAAAATAGTATTCCTACATATTTCTCTTTTAATAGAATAAATAATTTGTAATTTTTTAAGTTTTAAATTAGTTTAATATGCCCACTATTGTCAATTATTTTCATTTGTACACTTAACTACTGAAATAAAATATATTTACTTAAATAAACTTTTAGTTTGTTATCTATAAAGTTCTCTAAACTGTACAAACTATATATTTAAACAAACTACTAAACCTAAATATTTATATAAAAATTGAAATATTCAAAACTTATCTTAACCACCTTATAAATCCAAAACATCTAAAGTAATTTAATGTATATCAAATCTTACTTTCAATGCTGGAATTTCAAAAATACGAGGGTCATCTGTGACAGTTCCAACAACAACAACGATCTTCCCTTCCCTTCCAGGTTTCTTCATCATACGAACCTATAAAAGATAAATACATATATCTAAAACTGCTACAAGAGAAACAAACTAGATTTGAAAAACTTGAAATCAATTTATTTTCTGTCCATATATCTCAATAATATTTACCCTGAATGAAAACTATAAATAAAATTGGTTTCATTATTGACTATTACACTGTCTGAATAGAACCAATCTCATTTCCAACTAATGACCTTTAACATTAATAAAACTGCTTTGGTAAGAAAAAAGACTAACACCAGCAATTACCAATTCTTTATTAGTCTACAACAATTCAGTACTGATCAGTAAGTGTGACAATACACCATTCCATAGCCAAACAAGCTTACAATCAAGCACAAATCAGTACTGATAAGTGCAAAATGCACATAGACCAGTACAGTTTAAAACTTGTTACTTCTATAAAATCACATATGTACTTATAAGTATTATTCAGGGCTTCTGCGGTGACACGTGCATCTATGGCCCCAAGATAATGTTTGGAACAAAAACTATCATGTGCACATCAGATTCACAATTCCTTCCTTACAATACTCCAGGTAAAGAGATAATTATCTTTTAGGTTTAAGTTGATCTGGATTACAAAATATCATTAATATTACTTTCAGCTGCAATGTTAACAAAAAAATCTCAAGCATACCTATTTAGAATTTCATTAGTGACTGCAATTTTGGTCTGCACAGAGTCAGTCTAATGTCCAATTCACAGCCCTTTACAACACACAAGCCCATGCTTAATGGCTTGTGAACAAAACAGTTCCAAAGTGGCTTTTAAAAAGTGCAGCAACAAAAACTTATTCAATAACTTCTGCTAAATTAATTACTTATACTATTTCCTAGTTATTAATCTCCCATTTTTATCATTAAGAGTTTGGATTTCAGTTACAAGCTGCTCTTGATATAACCTCATTCCATAAAAAGTGGAAACATCTCTTCAACCCTTAGATTCAGAAACCTGCAGTAAGTTATGATGATATTCATAATATTGGTGGATCTACCCATTCTAATTATTTCACAACAGAAAATTCAAGTATGCCTAAAATGTTAACAAAGCAGATAGGGTAAACAATCATAAGCCTACTAAAAAGCATTGAAGGTTCTACTTACTTAGAAACTTCGAGACATTATCACAAAAAAAATAATAAATAACTGCATGGGTATTTGTGTTGCTCAAACATGATTACTCTTTTTTGTAAAGCAGTTTTTAAAAGCTAAAGCCTCTATTTCATAATCAGAGCAAAACATTCACTAGAACACTTGGGGAAAAAATACAAGTTTCTAACGCTTACTTATCTATAAAGCAATAATGTGCCGATTATTTGGTTTAATACTATACAATTTGCTTATTAGTGTAAAAAAATCACAACTGGTCAACAACAGTTGATTATTAAAATGAAATTTTTTTCATGAATTTTAAGTTTTTTTCTTGGTTGAAGTTTGAGATAGAATTGACAATAAAATTTCAATAATAAATTAACTCCAAATTATTATCTTGGAGCTCAGTTTCCAACAAATTCAGCTCTGAATGAAATTCTCCCACTCATCAATTCCCAGCCTGACAGGTCAATTGCTAACCATATCACAGCCTTAACTCTTTCAGCATGGGCTCAGTCCCAATCTCGTAACCATTTTGTGCTTGTTATAGTTTTCATGCTATAACTTTTAATTAATAATCAATTGTTAACAAAATTTGGCAGATTATCAGTAAACACGACAATGCTTTCATATGTAAAATTTAAATTTTTTTTTAAGTTTTAAGGTTTCCAAAGCTTTGTTTTTCTCATGTCTTCTTTTTTCTTTTTGCACGTTACCTATCTATCATGCAAAGTAATACTCATTTTAAGATTACAAATATTTTTATACATATAAGAAATTTGGAAATTTCACATGCGAAATCTTCATAATGTTCAGATATCTGTTATTTTCAGTAATTAATCTCTGTACGGGTTTGGTAGATTTGACCGATCTCGCAACTACCATAAAAAAATTAGGAAATAAATATAAGTTATACCTTTTTCATTCTAGAATGAACAGAAATTATAACACGAAAACATAAATGTTTAAATTAAATAGCTTAAATCTCATAACATTATACATTTATTAATTTTATTATAGGGACCTTTCAGCCATGCCTGGCTAACAATACAGAAGTTACAAGGATGCGGCTCACATGCACTCATGTTACTGTATCAAATAACATAAAACTGACCTTTGGTTTGTACAAAGTAATTTGTCTTGGCTGTGCTTTAGTAGACTACTATTTTGTAAAATTATTATACATTATATATGTATATAGATTATTGTTATTTTGAAATAAGTTCTTAAACAGTAACTAAAGAAGTAAAGCAAACAATTATCTCTTCTAATTACGACCTTTGCATTCTGTTGTTAAACCTTTAACAAATTTGCATGTGGAAGATTTGAAAAATAATTTTTTTAGGTTTTATATATACATTTAAATAACTAAAAAATATAAATTGCTACATTAATACCATGGGATTCCACTGTAATTTATCAAGCTTAGTAATTAAGATGTATTTTAGTCTAAAACAAAATATGAAATTTCAAGCAGACTAAAGAAACCCTACCTCGTTGAAATATTGGTTCACAAGAAAAAAAATGGTGCCAAGTCTGTTAAATTGCCCAAGAAAGCCACTCGGGGGACATTCTGAGCTTCCGATTGGTTATTCATGTCATATATAGAAGTGTATATAAGGGAGTTTCCAAAAATGGAAAGAAGTGAGCAGGGTGCTACTGTGTTTGATTTATTACATGAGCAAATCTTAGCAAATAGAAAAGATAAGACCTTCTTATTTTATATTCAAGCTTTTCATGTCTGTAATTTGAGTTTCTAATTTGTTTGAAACTATAGACTTAGTATTTTGACTTCACAAACATCTAATTTGAACCAGTGCTGCATTCAACATACCACGTGACACACAAAAATCATGTTTATCTATGGTTTTTTAATATTTGCTCTTAAATTAAGAAATTGAGTAATATATAGTACTAAAATTTGAATTATAATCTACAGTTTGATACCAAACTTGTTGACATAAATTCATGAAATAGTAGTTCAATAACATTTTGAATGCAAATCAACAATGAGATGACACGGCCTTTCACCCATGACCCACCTCGAAAGGGTTAAACACTGTAGAACCTTCTCTATATTTCAGGTGCACAATTTACCTTACTACTTATGCTTAACGTGTGGCAATTAACAATCAGTATATGTGTTGAAAATTGAAAAACTTTTATGCAACTGTGAATACATCACAGCTTAAAAATGATTGCAAATAATGGTTATGGATAAGTAAAAAGCAAGAGACAGAGAGAGAAAAACATTTTACTTCAAAAGCATTACTTCCATTTGAATACTTATTTATATAATGGCATTGAACAGACTGAACATTACAACTGTTTTCTTTCATTGTACTATAATGGACGTAGTGTGCATATATGTATCTACGCACGTGACCTAAATATTAAATACAATGTAGGGCCATCTATTTAATGGCACCACAAATAAAAAATTCAGTACTTTGCATATTCAACATTGAAACAGAAAAATAACTACAATATGTGCAACAACCATTTCTTTATCACAGAACACAATCTTAAATAAAAGTACTCTCCTCAGAACAAGACTTTCACTTTTTCAATGAGGTATGAATACTACAGTTAATAATTACTGGCACAATCAGTTGCCAGTAGGGCAACATTTCTGCTAGTAAATATAATGTCCATAGATCATGTCAAATCTGTTAGACCTAAGGTTTGTTGGAGCTGAAAGGATCAAATGTCAGTAAGTTGTCATGTTTCTGCATAAAAAGTCATCTGAATGATTGCTGATAACTGGAGATTTTAAAAAATCATTAACTGATACCAATCATCTAATTACATACAATTAACAAATCAATAAGCAACAAATTTTCATAATGGCATATTTTTATAGGAAAAAAAAACATTTTAAATAGGATAAATGTACTTTTAAAATCATGTTTCTATGTCCTTAAAATTTACAGTGTATATTTGATACTGTAACAAAGAAAACTTACTAAACGTGCAAGAGATAAAGGTGGTCTGTTAGTTTTACTCATAAACAGCCTTTTCATGATGATTTTGTTAAACTTTGCACCAGTCCGTCGGGCAAGAAAACGATACAACTGTGAAAAATATAAAGAAAATATTAACAAGTCCAATATACTGAGATATAACAATCAAAATATAAATTTACCTTTTTTTCCATAAAGTATCATTCAAATAAAAAAAGTTATACAAAAATAATTAACTTTTATATAGGCGCAAGTAGAAAAGTGAGTAAACAACTACATCCAGCAACTTTCATACTTTGACTTTGAATCCCTTTAGAATATTCAACATTGTCTAAAGCAAAAACCTGCCAAGATTGAGATTGACTCAATAGGTTGGGAGTAATTAACAGGCTTTACAAAATAGAAATAAAGTTAATTTCAAATTTGACCCCCCATAGTTCTTAGTATTTACATACAAATTTTGTTTGAGATTGGCCCAATAAGCTTGGAGGAATTAGGATGCAAACAAACATTTCGTCTCTATAACTATTGATAAATGTATTTTTAAAACTATCATATTAATCCAAGTTTTCAAAAATTATACAACATCTGATGTTAAATTTTTGGAATCCAAACATTCTTTCAAGAATATTATTGAATTTCTTCACACTGTGTTAAAATGTCTTCAAGCTACTGTGTGTTAACAGTCATAGCACAAGAAAACTTGTCATAATGCATGTGTGAATGATGACATTAACAGTCTAGCATCAAAAAATGGATTCTTGATCAAATACAAGTGTTAATTTTATGTTGCTTTTAGCAAAAGTAATTAATAATGATATATTTTCACTTCAAAGCAAAATAGATAGTTAGATTTCTACAGTTTCTTTCATATGATAGAGATCATGATACTTTTGTTTTCACATCATAACATACAACTGCAATAAATTTACAAACGTTACTATTGAGATACAGAAGCAACAAACACTATACAACTGTAATAAATTTATAAACATTACTATTGAGATACAAAAGCAACAAACACTATAGTTTTTGTAATGTGATCATTATGTCTAATATTTAGCATCCATAATGATCACTTAAAAATAACTTGTGAAAATCTAATATAATGAAAGTCTAAAACCACTGTTAGTAGTTACTAAAGTATAAAATTTGATCTAATCTTATTTAGAGGTAATCTAAATATAAATGTATAATGTGAAACTAAACTTAGATACTTAAATCATTCTGTTAATTTAAAAATCTTTCAGTTGTTACACTTCTGACAATTTACTACCAAATAAGATTGATTTAAAGGCCTGTTACAGTAAATAAGCTACATTCATTATTGCTGAATGTACTTATTTGTTGTAAAAAGCATGGGGAAAGGAATTACACCTTTTATATGTGTAGAAATAATCTAGTTTGATTTTTTGACACATCTGAAAATGTTTTAAACACAAATTTGCATCATTACGCTCTATCCAACATGTTAAGAAAAATTCAAAAAGCATGTACCCCAACATCAAACAATTTCATGAATTTAAAAATCTAATCACAAAAAAACAATTTTTTGACAAAAGTTTGTAATTAGGTTTCCAAATCTTTGCTTTACCAACTTAACCCACTAATATAATTTATTTATTTGAAGTATTTTATAGCAAATATATGAATATTGAAATTTTTATAAGTAGATTCAAATTTTACAAATAACAGTCACAATTCTACACATAGGCTGATCCATGCACAGGGGTATTCATAATTAAAGTACCATTAAAACTTTTTCATCATTTACTTCTAAATAGGATTATAAAAATAGTTTTAACATTGAAATTGGGATACTAGTTACTGCCAAGTATCCCAAAGGTTTTTGGTTTTCGCTATACAAGTTAAAATAGAATGCAATCTCAAATGAAAAGTTTAAATGATACATCCTGGCAAAGGCTTGGGCAACCAGCCATTCCTGATGTCTTGCTCTCATTTTTAAATACAAACAACAGAAATATTTGAATAAACATTGTAGTGTACTCATTGCATTAGCTTGGCATCAAGATCATTTTACTGACTGGAACCTTTAAACATGTTTAATGAGTTGGTGATACAACATTTATTGCCAAAACACTATGGAATAAGAATCTTGAATATCTATTCTCTCAGAAGAGCTAGACTCCCAAATCCAATCCTGATGCATAAATATGCTAACACTATACATGCATACAATAACATTGGGCAAATGATGATAACCATCCATCCATTCACAAAAAATTGCAACCTTTTAGGTCATATCCTGGGGTATTTTTATCATAAAATTTTCCAAGTTTATCCAAACAATCAAGTTATCATTTTAACTTAAAAAAAAAACTTGCATCTTTGGACCTATTGCATTTATTGAACCTTTGGAGTAATGGGCCCTAGAACTAATGGATTGTCACCCTAGTTACTATGGTTTAGTCACATCACTACCTTTTTTTTGTTGTTGTTGTTGGAGGGAAACTCTTATAATTGAAAACTAATGTAATACCCCCTAAAAAAAAGCAGTAGAAGTACTGAAACTCCTCAAATTCTACATCGAATATGAATCCTCTTAAATAAAATTACTTTTCATAAATTGAAAGTTATAAGCATATTGAACAAGGGAACTCAAAAATCCTTCTTCAAGAAAAGTAAATAAGAAATATCAAAAAAAAAGAGAATAAACCACACCAACAATAAATAATTAGCCTGTTAAATTAAACTTAACAGAGAGAAGATTTTTACAGTGAAATACAGTAAGCCTAAAAATAAAGTTTACATCCACTATAATTAGTATTACAGAACAAAATTAAGTATCAATGTGTTTTTGTTTCGTAACAACTGAATTAAATTGTATTTTAGTTTATACGGTATAGTGTACTTAACTCCTATTACTAGAACGGTAAGCCTAAGTCTTTGAAAGACTATGTGGTTAAAAATGAGAATCAGACTCGCACAGGTCGAATGCCATGTGAATTGCTTACTTACAATTTACATATTTACCCAGTACTAAATATATTAATAAATGCAGGAACTAATAATATAAGGAACATGTAGTTTTTTAATATTTTTATAAAGCAACATGCATATCCAAAATATGTAAAATTTGAAACACTGCTACTGTTATATTCGTTCGGAAACCTAACCACCTTACCTTCACCAACAAACGAAGATAGATATCATTGCTTTTGGGCTCTCGACGCACAACCTTCCGGTCGTATTTATGATTGATGTCAATACCCTGAAAAATAATTACTTATTATAAATAAATAAACTTCAATAAGCATATACACACTATCTCTTGTCTCAATTGAACTTAATATCTACGTGTTTCATTCGGATTGAAATTCTACATCAACACATCGAAATACTCACCATCTTGTTTCTCAACGAAAAGACCTTAACGAAGCTTTTTGGGTAAGAGCAACGCCATCTAGGATTTCAAGTTGTAGTATTACACTCTCATATTCTCCTGAATTAAGATATTTGTATATTTATTATAAATTACACAAAATACTTATTTAATAGTATTTAAGCCATTTCGACCAATTTTGAGCTTTTGATTTACAATAGATATTAACTTAAAATAAATTATGATTCAAATAGCAACAATATACCTACGATTTAATATAACATCAAAGTACAACGATGGACCTTTTGTTCCGAACAGACCGTCTTGTCCACTAAATTAAACTGAATAATAAAAAAACCCAAAGCCAGCCTTCCTCATTCAAAATTTTATCAACCTTTCCCTTAAAATAAGTGCATCTATCACATCTGAAAATATGGTACTATTAAATATGGTTTCCAAATCTTGGTCAGAATGAAATTCCCTGATCATTGAAACATTACCTATAATAATACGTGAAATTGCTAAATATTATTCAAGTATTGTTTAATGAAGAAAAGAAAGGCTGTAAATTAAGAATCAACTTTGCTTAAATCTCACAAGGCTTCAATATGATCAACTATGTCTCTTGAATTATTGATACTTTATAAGAACATACACAATAATGGCAGTTTGTAAGATTATTAAGTAAACATAATGTAAAAGTTCAACCATTTCTATAAACAATCAACAGCTATATTTTCAAGAAACATACTATCAATGAACATTCTCTATTTAAATATTTTTTTTAAACCTTTTCTAAGTTACTGCTTTCATCCATATTTTCCTTCATATGGGTTTTTGTTAACCGCCACTGTTGGTATTTTACCCGTCTCTTGGAGATGTTGCCTGTCAACGATCTTTGCTCAAGTTGTACTACACAACAATGCTTAGTGATTTATATTTTGTTTTATAACAAATTAAAACAAAATTACTGATAAATTATAATTTCATTATAACTTTATTTTTAATGCTTGGCATCATCTATGACAAGTGTTGATAACAGTTTTGGTGCGATGTTGTTTTCAATTTAAAAATAGCAATAATAACAAATCTAAAACATGTAATCTTTACATTTTTTTATTTATGACATGTGGGTCATAAACACACACGCATCCTCACAAGTGAATGTGTTATCCAAATGATGTTCAGAAGTACTATACAGATTTGTTTATAACTGAAGTTTATATTTTTAAAAAAATTGCTCAATACAATGCTAACTACTTTCAATTCCTTTATTCTCTCTGTAAACATGTCAATGTACATTCATTGAGTTTGTCATCTTTTTACACCTTAAAAGCTCTGCTCTTCCTTCTTCCACGTGCACGTTCAAACTTTCTTCCCTTAGAACGCACATATGGCCTGAAAAATAAACAAACTTTATTACAGAATCAGTTTAAAATTTTTTATCTTAATAATCACTCACTCAACTATTCAAAGACTTACTTCAGGATCTACTGTTGTCAAATCATAGTACAGCTGTTGAGACACATGTGAAACATTAGAATAGTTAGTGCTGGTTGACACAAGATTAGGCCAATTAAAAGTGCAACACAGCACATTACTTTGAGAAATTCCAGCTCTAGGAAGCACCACACTATACACGCAAGCTGATTGGTGACATTCTCTTACTTGTGGAGAAAGCTGGAAATATTTTGTAGATGATAGGGTGACACAGCACATGCAAGAACAACCTACTGAAGTGCTCATCTTTAAGACTGACTGATTTATTACTTCTAAGTGCTATGTGGGTGTAACATGGCTTATGTTCAAAGTCATGATTTATACGGAGTCTTCTTGTGAACTTTCTTTAAAAGCTATTCTAAAATACCTTGAGAAATTGTGACATATCTTGGAGACAAATTAGATATATCCCAGTATAAAGGCCTTAACATATTAATTGCTGTCCACTGCTTGTCAACAGCAAGGTTGGCAATCTCCTGCAGTCCCATCTCTTCCTGTTTGGCATTCCATGCAATCATGATCTCTGGAATTATTCCACATTTCCCCACTAGTGCTATAGGCTCTGAAAGCCCCAGACTGCCTCTTTTCTATCAGGTCGAGGGACTTGGACTTCACCTGTGATGATGATGAAGCAGCAGCTAAGTCTTTCAGCATCCAGATTATGTACTGGAGAATTATCTAACTTACCACTTGGCATGTTGGAAAAAAAAAAGAGTATGGTGTGTCTTCATCATAGTCCCCAAAGCTGAAGATATCTCCCTTCTGTTTCTGAAATCCATCAGCAAGTGCTGGGAGAAGCATGCATAGTAAGTTTACAACTTGTGGTTTGAAAAGGTGACAAATTTCAGATATGGTGCTTCAGATATCTTTGTCATACCTTGTGTTACTGAACCTTTCAGCTGACACAAAATTAAAAGCTGTTTCTATGACATTTGGTAGTTTAACACAGACCTGATTGCTTTAAAAAGTATGGAAGGACCTTTTACCTCTTCAAGAGAGGTTGATGAGCAGTGTGGACGACGAAACAAAGGAGCAAAGTGTGTGATCTACACTAGAAAAAATATAAAAATGAACACAATTAAAGCATGTACGAAAATCAAATTACAGTGTGTTACACTGTTACTCGTGGTGTAGTTTTAGTTATTTAAGGTGATATAACATCACTGGCATTGTTGAAGTCCTTGAAGGTTGCCTCTTCCTTTAAGAAGACATTTGAAAGACTCACAGCGTATGTGATGGCCGGAGGCTTTTTGTAATCCCTCATAAGCCTGAAGATGTCATTTGCTTTAGCTACAGAGAGGGACGTATCACAAGCATAACGGACTTCCAAATACTGTCTGAACATTATTTAGATGTTAATTATGAACAAATATTGTCTTAAAGATTTTTAGAAAATATTTTGAGCAAGATGCAATTATGCTTTCATTTTAAGGAAAAAAAACGTTAATATAGGGGGTACGTACAGGGATGTTGCACTCATTAGATAACCAAATTTGTTATATTTTCTTAAATATGATTACGTTGTTTTAGTGGGGGCCTGTAGGATTCTAAGTTTTAACACCATCCATCCCCTACTTGAAAGGAGAATCGGTGAACAGAGAGATTAACGTATTTTATGTTTATACATAGAAGAATAGTGTACGCAAAGAACTATTTAAATTACAGACAAAAAGTTAACATTTTGTGAACTTGTATGTCAAACCAAAGTTTAAGAATTTTTCTTGAGCTTTTTTTTTTAAATAACAGTGTAATTATTAATGCTAATTTCATTAGCATATGTTAATAATAAGCTTGCTTAATTAAATTTTGAATGTAACAAAGTAAAATCTTGTGACATGCACAGAAAAGGGTGCCTGTAATAGTATGGTTATTAAGCAGGTAAAGTGGGTGTGGCATCTGTCAAAGTTCCAAGAATTTTTTCTCTCTGAATGTGCCCTAAGGAGCTTCAAATAGGGGGCAGTGTTAATTTAAAAAGTTGGAGATATATTTGGCCTGTCCCCCAAAAAATAACATGGAGTTGGTTGTTCTAATGATAAAAATGACAATTTTTTTAGGATAAGGTATTACCCCCCCCCTGAAAATTGGCATTTTTGCCAGTATTGTCATATACTTAACCATTTGTTTATTTACCTTTAATATAACTCTTAATTCTATGAAAGTTGCTGTCCTCAATATCTTATAGGCAGCTAGTGCTGTTCCATCTAAGCAGCTTTTCGAAAAGATTGGTCTTGTAATGACAGATCAAACTGCACATAACATAGGTGTGGATGACGTTGTCACCAAGCAACTTGAAACTGATAATATAACCACATAGATCTTGTTTTACAATGTGCACCCTTCTCAACAGAATCATCACAAAACAACATTGGTAGAGACAAGATTTACTCCAATTTCTTAGTCAATGCCACAACTAATGCATAAAGTGTAATGGAACAAGCACTGGACTATATTCTACACACATTTGTGATTTCTCAGCCAATTATACTTAGTTGAGCTAGATGTTTACAACTAGAAAGAACACATTTTAAAATACGATCTTCCAATAGTTATTTTACATTGGCACAAAGGATTCCACATAGAACTAGTCAAACCGATCTTGGCATTGTTGCTGCTTTTATTCTCACCAGCACTTTAGTATTGTTTCTCACCTATAAATATGTTAGTTAGACAATTAAATGTTTTAAAATGTGTATTATAAAGGTTTTATAATTTTTTAAATATAAACCAAACTGCCTTGGTTCATCAGGATTAGTGTAGTAGGCGAGTGTTCCAACATTCTGATGAAGGCCAAAGTGTCTCTGCAGATAATACCATAATATTGCCTGAGAATGTTGTGATGGTAGTAATGCTAATGACAAAGTAAAACCTTATGAATACTAGTAAAATGTCATAATAGTTGTTTATACTTCAATACTTTTTACTAATTTAAAACACAAAGATTAGTTTTTCTACAACATCCAGTCTTGTAATATAAGTAAATGAAGTTTAAATATTATAACTTTCTGTCTATATCACAAGAGGAACTACGATTTTGTTTACAGCCAGATAACTGAATTACAAAAACAAATTGGTGTTTTATTTTCAGGTACCTTAACTTAGCTGGGCATGAAGTAACAACTAAAGAACTTTATGGTAGCATTCCTCTGCTTGCAGCCCTGCCTCACCTGGAATGTGTTCGAATCACTTACCCAAATGAATGTTATGATAGCAGTGATCAAGAAATCTGTGTTAATATGAAAGCTTCTGTTGAAACCAAACTTAAAGAATTATTTAGCAAAAACTTATACAGCTCTCACAGAAATCCAATGTCTAGAATGGTGCGCATTGTGTGGACTGATGATTATTATCAAGAAATACTTCAAGTAGTTTTTATTCCATGACAGTTTTATTGAAGAAAAACTCCAAAATGCGAAGATTATACTTTTTTTTTCATTATTAAAATGGAGTTTCAACTCTGTATTCATGTACTACTTTGATAAATTTAAAATATAAATGAAATTCCATGAGTCTTATGTGGACTACTTACTTAATAGTTGTTAGAAGTGAATTTTCTCCAACTATACAAAAATGAAATAGCTTTTGTTTAAATACTTCATGTAATCAGCTACAAAGGTAACTAACTCTTTAAAACTCAATTTTATAAATTCGAAATTAATGTTTAGTTGGTGGCGTTTTGTGACTTAATATGTTCACATTAAACTCACATGAAGAATGATACACAGTTCAACAATACTTACAATAACTCTGAGCTTTCTTAATATATTTTCACAACAATTGGCAAGATTTTGTTAAAGATTACAAGTATTTTAACTAAAGTTTTATTATTTTTGTATTGTAGTTATTTGCACTCGGACTCTATTTCGAGTATTATCATCAACATATAATGCAATGAAATGTTAAAAAATTACTAACAGAAAATGTACATACCTAAAATTCATACTTCAAACATTGTTATGCAAAACCTCTGGTTAAATATAATTTTGCCTATGGATACACTATATCTCATAAACAAATAATTTTGTACACTTCCAATAAATGCTTTTAATTAAAATCCCTTATGTTATTTACCCACATAGCTAATACTCTGAATAGTGTTGTGTATCTTATGCTATGGATACTTTGTCTCAATTACCAGTAACGAAGCTGATAGATATCCTGAAATCAACTTGGATAATTTATTCTTTTGTGCACAATTCTGCTTCATGATTTGTCATGTAGCAATTATGGATTTTACTGAAAGGTAACACATATAAGTAGTTATGTTATTTATAATCCCCCTAGCAAATATTCTGTAACCTGCCTGTAGGTTATCTGAAGGAAACCTCATTCTACCCATAGATCCACCTAAATAATCTCGTATTCAATCCATCATTCAGGTCTTTAAGTATAAAATGAAGTCTAAATATCATCTATTAAATTACCCAAAGATCAAGTTGAAAAGATAATGGTCTTAAAGTTACTTCTCTGAAAGGTGGTCAAAGGCCACCTCGAGGGTTAATCAATTTTAAGCACTCACACCACTATACAGTAGTGTGTTGTCTATCAGTCAGTAGAAAATAAAATGACATCACAACACCTAATGTTGCAAGTTCTACTGTTGTGGCATCAGTAAAATATGCACACGCCATGAATCATGAGAAGATTATGCTCTCTGTAGGCTACAACACAGCATGATATAAAAATACTTGTTACTTTTAATTTTGGGTTTTATTTACTATTGAAACAGAAAACTTTCAGGGACCCTGCAGAAGTACATCCATTATAATATCTATCTAACTGTTCAACAGTAAAACAAACCTTGATTAGTACTTCCAGTACTACCTAAAAGATTACATGTATATTATCCTTTTAAAAGATAAATTGTATGCAAATATCATATACTACCCACAATTCCATTAGAATGATACCCAAATAATTAAATTAAAAAATCCATTTCATCATAATATTTGATTAGTTATCCATAAACGAAATTATTTTGATTATTTTTATGATCTACGGGATGTCCTCTACATTATTTAAAAATCTGGCTGGAGAATCATGACCTAAAGAGATAATGAAATCCGTAAGATATATCTGCACCAGACATCCACTTGAGAGATATTTATATAACTGCCCAAAAATATATATTTTCTGTATATGTTGCTTGGCTAGTTCCAGTCTGCCTCCAGAGAAAAATTTTCATCATTTAAAGATATGGAAAACAAGTTTGTATTCATTCTTCCTCACACATTCAAAAAAATTTTCAGGAGTTAAAATTTATTCACAAAAAAGCTTTATTTTAATTTTATACATAAAAAAAGTTCTCTGTTTGAAAACAATAGTGTTTGTAAAT